CCTTTTAATCAATGGAGTAGAGAAGAACAAATCAATGCTCAATTGAATGCTAAATCATTAAACTGTTTTTTCTGTGCTTTAAATTCTAATGATTTTATGTTTGTTTCCACATGCACTACTGGTAAGAAAATTTGAGATAAATTACACACTTTATACAAAAAAATAGTAAAATCAAGCAATTCATATTGAATATTTTAATGCATGATTATGAAGTATTTTGCATGAAATCTTATAAGACGATCTTAGACATGTATACTAGATTTATTCAAATTGTAACATCATTGCATGCTTTAAAGAGTATTCAAACCGTGAAAAAGTTAATAAAATTCTACGTTGTCTACTTGATAAATTTGATGCTAAAGTTATTGCTATTTGTGAATCAAAGAATTTGAATGAATATTTTATTGATAATTTGATTGGCTCACTCATTGCCTACGAGCAAAATTTGAGTCAAAGACTTTTGAATGCAGGAGAGATGATAGTTCTAAACGCTGAAAATATGGAGAAAAGTGACTTAGTTAGTGACGAAAGCGATAATTTGTCAAGAAAATTAAAAAGCTCACCAAAGCATAAGCCTCAACAAAAGTGGAATAAAGGTAAAAATTGTAAGAATGTTAAGATTTCTTCTAACGTTGTTTGCTTTGAACGTAGGAAGCCTGGACATATGAAAAATTAGTGCCTAAATTTGAAAACTCTTCCTACAAAAGAAAAGGGTAAAGCTAAACAAATTATAAATATGGCAAATAATGAAAAGCAAAAAATCTCCTGGACAGACCTAGCTTGTGAATCATCTGACCAGGAGCAAGATGATGTTTAAACCATTGTTTATGTGCTTTATTTTTCTGTGTTTACATGTTTTATTCGTTTTTGTTTGTTTTCTGTGTTTTTTTTCTTTCTTTATTTTCTTTTTCGTTAAATTTTTTAATTTTGTTTTTCCTTTTTCTTTTATGTAGTGTTTTCTATTTTTAAAAAAAAATTAAGGGGAGTAAAATTTTAAAAATGAAAAATCTATCTCATATTTTTCTTGAATTCTTATGTAAGTTATGGTTGACTTCTCTAAAAACAGTCATAGAAAGAAAACTCATGATTTTGACTCTCAATCTCTGTTTCCTAAAGAGGTTATTCTACTTTTGATTTAAAATATTCATCATATTTTGAATTGGATTTTAAAACTAAACTTTTTCATCTCCCTATATTTTATCTATCGTATAGGAATCTTTTACAAGTTGTTGAATCTACCTCATAATTTTTTTAATCAAGTAGTTTGTTTTGTCAATAAAATGGGTTTACTTTTGTTTTTAAAATTTCAGGAAAATAGCATATTCATAAAAAAAGGCCAATTATGCCAAATCAAAAAAAAGTGACCAATGATCCAAATTAAAAGATGTGCAATGACGCCAAAATTGAGAAAGATACACAAAGTATATCAAAAGAAAAAGATGCACAAAGTGCGTCAAAAACCTAACAAGAGGCATAAAATGAGCCAACAAAGAGTATGCTTACTTTTTTCTATTTTACTCAAAGCTTAAGAAAACCCTTGATATTTTTTATACTTGATCTTGAAAATCATGATTCTTGGTTCACCAATTTTTACATTAATCTTCTATGAGATATGTTTTATGAAAGGAGATTTTGAAAAAAAAATCAGTATTTCTTTTTCTAATTCATTTCTTGATTTAGCTATTTGATTAAAAAGTTTTTGATCCCTTAAAAGAATTTGAGCTTAGATTAATAATTTCTAAATTTCTTACCTTTACTAAATTATGCAGTGTCAATCCATTCCTTACTAAGTTTTTTGAATAAAATTAAGAGGTAACTTTTTCTTTTTAAAAACTTTTTCGTGCCCTTTCTCTTTTTGATAATGTCAAAGGAGGATAACGTACTGTTGAATTTGTATCCTTTTACTTGTATTTTTTCTTTCAAAAAAAATAATAAAAACAACAAAACTTTTTTTACCTCCCCTATTTTTAAAGTTTAATTCTAGTGGGGGGAGATTAGGAGAAAATATTTTCTTCTTTACAAATTCAAATAGCAATGTTTGTCATCATTAAAAAGGGGGAGATTATTGCGGATCTGTTTTCATGGTCTATGATTTTGATTATAGCAAACACTCTTATTTCTCTACAACTGCCTTACCTACTGACATTTCAGGTTCACAAGATCAAGACTGTAATTTGGAATCAGCTCAAGGTTGGGTAGACTAGGTCTGAGTCAATTTGTACCATTTTTCCTTTCTTGAGTCTTTTGTAATTGTTGTGACTCCTGATGCTAAGTAACTTTGCACACACACACTTTGGAAGAATTTCTGACTGTTCTCTAGAGTTTACTGTTTTTGGTAACATCGTCCGGGATGATATTTATATCGTCCTGGACGATCGGTTCAAAAACAGAAACCCTGATTAGGGCATCATCCTTGTTAAGACAGCCGTCATTAAACACATCGTCATGAACAATTTTATATCGGCCATAATGATACGCTTAAATTAGAAAGAATCTTCCGCAAGATCTATTTAGAAATTACTTATTTTTGGACATCGTCCCAATGGATCGGCCTGGCCTATCAGGATCGGCTTGGCCGATCCAGCACAATTTTTCTTAAATAAATCTTGCAATTAAGGAGAACAATTAATGGTGATTTGCACGATCACATTGGCCAGGCCGATCGCAGGATCGTTCGGGCCGATTTGACATTGGCCAGCTTCTTTTTAGGGCAATGTTTAGGATGATTTTCTTCATATTTAAACTAATCGTCCAAAACGATATCCTATTGGCCTGGACAATATGACTAAAAATTGACTAATCGTCCCTAACCGACCAGGCTGATTCAGCATAATTTACGCTGATAGGCCAGGCCGATATTTATATCGACCTGGACGATAAAGTCGGCAATTTGCATTAATGAGCTCGTTTTTAGATCTTTTATTTAAGCTTTTGACTAGGCACATTTGTAAGTGTCTTTGATACTCATTGTGTTTCGTTCTTCTGGATGAAACTTGAAGAGAGTGCTTGAAAGTGAGAGAGGAAATGATGGAGTTTGAGAGAGGGAGAAGATCCTTGGAGGGGGTTTCAAGGGAGTGTGGAGGGGGTTCCACACGGTTGCTCCGGCGAGCTTGCACTTTAGTACCATCAGATTCAATGCTTGTCTTAAGAGAAGTTTTGGAAGAAGAAGATCTCTTTGGTGTCAAAGGACCCGGCAACTCCGCCGCACCGGGGAAGATGGAAGTGATTTTATAAAGGCTTCTCCGCCTAGCTGTGGGGGCTAAAGGAGAGACACTTAGTTTAGTGCAATACTCGGAGGGTGCCTCCGAGGAGTGGATGTAGGTCAAGGTTTGACTGAACCACTATAAATCTGGTGTGTTCTTTCCTTTATTATTTTCGCATTTAATTTTCGCACTTCAATTTATGTGGTGATTTTGGTTTGTGATTGTGCTTTGATTATAAAAAGTTTTTTTAAAATATCAATTCACCTCTCTCTTAATTAGCCTTTGGCCAGTTCATACCTAACGAACTTTCAATTAGTTACCCAAATAGTCGAGCCATTTATGTATAATGTGGAAGGCATCATTAAAGGAGAATATAAAAGTGATTAATTTTCTACACCAAAGCATCACAAAACTAACATGGTAGACCCACCCACCAGTTGGCCCAAGCCTCGCCTTTTATTTTTATATAATAGTAATTCCATATGCAAGTTTCAAGGGATTAATGCTGACCTAGATAGCCATCGATAATTCAATAGTGGCGGTTTGACAACAAAATTTATCAATGATGCCTCTGAATAGTAAATCAATATAATATGTCAAAGATCTCGTTGCCAATAGTGCAATTATCAAAGATGGATCCAAATTTCAATTGCCAGATTGATGATAATAATACTAAAAATAGTCATCACTCAAATTTAGGGCTATTAGAAAACAAATACAATCTCCAATCATTATTATATGAAAATGTTTAAACTTATAAGAGAAGCTATTTTATCGTAAATAGATCATAAAGTGAAGGTTTTAGAAGATACCTAACAACTCTGAGAATTGAAATGATTTATAGTCACTCCGCATAATCATGAGCATAAATTGATGCAATCAAACAACATCAATATGGAAATCACAACATGGATTTCAGTGATCATTCTAGTGGTCCCCCAAGCAATTTAAGTGGAAATAACCATAATGTTTATCACAATCTTCTTTCTACTTCATGCATAGACATCAATTGCACACTTAGGATAATGGTCAGCCAAAGTTGAGCAAAATTTAGGTCAATCTTATTTGGGTCAAACCAATTTGGTTTGAGGCATAGAATCCCATGTAAGCTTTGAATCATGATATCTTAGCATCAACATATTCATATCGATGAGCAAGTCATTGTAGCAATATTTTTCATTTCGAGCACATTTGGCCTCTAATTTGGTTTTCTCATTAAAATTGAACATCGGTTCAACTTTCCTGAATCGCCTCGAGTTTCATGCACAACTTTGAAATCATGTTGATCGAATAGGGATTTTCACAATCCAACCAGAAGTATCACCAATTAGAATGATATCTCACCCAAACATTTTCTTTACTAGTCTAACTTCTACATTTCATTTTTTTCAATATCTCACCTATTAGAACAAGATCACAACATCTACTAAATTTTATGTCATAGATCCTAATCCCCAAGTACCCAAGCTACCTTTCTTACTCTACTATAACTCTTAAGACATACACTTAATCAACTCATGCTCATAATTTCTCACATACAAATCCATATCAGATCTTTCAGAGTTCTAGCTAATTTACTGTAAACTAAAACAACAGATTACAACAGCTAGAATGTGAAAAGGTTTTTCTGCCAATTTGGCAAAATACAGATAATCTCAGGCAAAAAAAAGCATATCACCAGCAATACTTCAACAAATTAACAAAAAAATTGTGAAAAAACAAAACATTTCTCAAGAACGGTAGGTCGGCGACAGTATCTTGTTATAACGATGAATGATGGAAGATGATAAATGATACCGTTCGGGCAGTGGAAGATGGGGTCCCGGCATTAAAGAAGACCATGTTAACTGACACCACCTCCCCTTCAGCCTTCCTCCCCGACTTTACTAGATCAAACTGCGAAGCCCTAAACCTTCTAATCACCTCCAAGCTCTTAGCCAAATTCTCCATCGCACTCCCATCATACATCCGAGCCCCGTGCCCTGGTGCCCCTCTGGCTTTAATCACCATCCACCAGGGGCTCCTCTCTGCGTAGAAAACCCTATAATCCTCACTTGGCGAGGCCAAGCCCTCATCAAGCACCACCCCAACATTCAGTCCCCGAAACTTCTCGGATTTTGCGAAGGCTTCGGCACCATCGTGGCCGCCGATCTCCTCATCTGGCACGAAGGAGACGTGAATGGTCCTATCAGGGGAAAAACCCTTGGCTTTCAGGCCTCGAATGGCTTCTAAATATTGGAGGCCAACGCACTTCATGTCCTGAGAGCCTCGAGCGAAGATTTTTCCAGCGGAATCAGTGGATGCAGAGAAGGGAGGGTAGCGCCACTTGTGGGGTTCAGCGGAGACGACGTCGGTATGGGAGTTGAGGAGGAGTGAAGGGAGCGACGGAAGACGACCGGGCCAAGAGAGAAGAACGAGGGGCTTGCCAGCGGCGAACTCCAGGGTTTCGGCTTCGAGGCCAATGGAGGCAGATTGGGCCAAGATAAAACGGGTGGAAGTGGCATAGTCCGGCGACGGCTGAGCAGTATTGATGCGAAGGTATTCTTGGAAGCGGGCGATAATCGAATCGGCATTATCGTTGATGACAGAAGCGACGGCGAAAGCCGGCGAGTGGAGACAGAGTAGAAAGAGAAGTAGTGTCCTGCTGGTTCTTTCCATTTTCTTGTTTTTTCAGTCTGCGATTATCCTAATTGAGCGAGCAGATTTTCAGAAATTATTACGTGCGTAGTATACAGTGTTTCTTTTTTTTTTTTAACACAGTATACTAGTATAGCATATTTTAGACTGCTTGTACTCAACATTTGGACAATATATATATATATATATACTTTTTTTTAATAGTTTGTAATTTTAAAATGAATTATTCAAATTGAGGAGTTGTTCATACATAGTTATAATCATAAATTTAGAAAAGAAATTCAATCATTAGTTCTTCACAAAATTTTCATTATTAGGGGCCTAAATATGAGTCACTGATCATTAATACTACCTAATCTATATGATATTTATTCTAAAATAACAAAGAGACATTAAGAAAGAAAAATAATCAATATTTATCTTTTATAAACAAAAGTTACATGCTAATTTTAACCTTAACTTATAACAAATCAACATAATAAATAAATGTAGTAGACATAGCCCATTCAAATAAAAAATCTATTTTTGTGTAAATTTAGAAAGTGCAAATAAAAATTTTCCTAAAGGAAGACAAATAAGAAGTTTGTTAAAGCTAATTATGCTTTTATTGAAAACTCACATACAATTTAAATGATCATATAAACACTCAAAGTAGTTATTTATAAAATTTTAAAAAAAGAAGCTTAGCTGATTTTTTTTCTTTTAACACATAGCATTAGTTAAGGTTACAATGTTATGGAAAAGGACAAAAAGAAGTTGTAGCATCTCATAATTATTAGTCGTGGCAGAGCCAGAAAAATTTTTTAGCGGGGGCTTAAATTTATTTTACACAAAAGAAAATCATTCATCCCAATTGATCTAAAATTTACTCAAAAGATATCAAACTTTTGGGATTTTTTTTTCAAATTCTTTTGCTCTAAAATCATCACAATTGATTTAGCAAAAGCTGTGGAAACTGGTGAAGCCATTGCGATCACACAAGCTATGCTAAACTCTTTTGTTGGGCGTGAAACAGAAATCGAAGCAGAATTTGAAAATCAAAACAAAATCGAACCAAGGAGATGGCATCGCGGGTGACAATGGCAAGGATATCAGCACAGGAAACCTTATTTTGGCATTGGGTGACGGCATCAACGACGGCCTTGGCCTTGATAACAATGTTAAAACCATCGCCGACAAGGGAGAGATTATCTGAATTATCTTTTCCGCCTTATTGTTGCCATTAACACCACAATTACCGATGCATCACAAGCCTGCATGTCACAGGATAAGAAGATCGCAAACAGAGACAAAGCAAGAAAATAAGATTGAAGGAGAACTGTGAAGTACATTGATGAAACAGTCATGGAAGAAGAGGCAGAGTGTTATGGGAACGATGACAAAGGCTTGCTGAAACTTTTGGGGAACAACATTCCAAATGATGCTTTCTACATTAAGGCAAACTTTGGAGTAATAATTTTGTCACAGTTTGGTGGAGCTTGGCTCAACCAAGTGGCAAGTAGCACAGACAGAGACAAGCAACATAAGCTTTAAATTGATTTTCTTTTGTGCAAAATAAATTCAAGCCCCCGCTAAAAAAAATTTCTGCCTCCGTCGCTGCTAATAATTATGAGATGCTACAACTTCTTTTTGCCCTTTTAAAGCTTTTGTTGCTTGTCTCTGTCTGTGCACAATTGATCTAAAATTTACTCAAAAGATGTAAAACTTTTGGATTTTTTTTTCAAATTCTTTTGCTCCAAAATCATCACAATTGATTTAGCAAAAGCTGTGGAAACTGGTGAAGCCATTGCTATCACACAAGCTATGCCAAACTCTTTTGTTGGGCGTGAAACAGAAATCAAAGCAGAATTTGAAAATCAAAACAAAATCAAACCAAGGAGATGGCATCGTGGGTGGCAATGGTGAGGATACCAGCACAGGAAACCTTATTTTGGCATTGGGTGATGGCGTCAACGACAGCCTTGGCCTTGATAACAATGTTAAAACCATCGCCGACAAGGGAGAGATTATCTGAATTATCTTTTCGGCGTTATTGTTCGCCATTGACGCCACAATTACTTACACATCACAAACCTGCCTGTCACAGGATAAGAAGATCGCAAAGAGAGACAAAGTGAGAAAATAAGATTGAAGGACAACTGTGAAGTACATTGATGAAACAGTCATAGAAGAAGAGGCAGAGTGTTCTAGGAACGATGACAAAGGCTTGCTAAAACTTTTGGGGAACAACATTCCAAATGATGCTTTCTACATTAATGAAAACTTTGGAGTAATAATTATGTCACAGTTTGGTGGAGCTTGGTTGAACCAAGTGGCATGTAGCACAGACAGAGACAAGCAACATAAGCTTTAAATTGTTAGAACCCTAAATTAATTGTTTATTAAAAATTTTGGTCATATCATATAGTACTATCAAAGGATTGTATAATATAATTAGTACATTTGACCAATTTCCATGAAAAATTAGCTATGATCCATTAGATTGTATGGCTAGATCATTTAAGTGATTTCTTAAGTAAGTCATCTTTGTTTGATCATTTTGTATGTTAGGGATTGCACTCTATGATGTTTTTTTCCTAATTTGATCCTAGATTCATATCTCTCATTTATATAAATTACTGAAATAATCATATAGTAGGAAATGTATCATACAATACAATATCTAATTATTTGGTCAAATGTTCATCATAAAGTAGGATTAGTGCAAGATTTTTAATTGTTAAATTTCTAATAATCAATATGTCAGATGTACTAGATATGGCCTATATCAAGAAATATAGAGGTAGACTTAAAAAGATTTGATTAGAAAGTATTAGAAATGACATTTTCTATTAAATTTAAATGTCAATTTGACTTTTAATAGGACAGAATGGAGAAAAATGATTCATGTAGCTATGATTCATGTAGCTGACCCTACGTAGTGGGATAAAAGCTTGTTATTATTGTTGTTGTTTTAATCAATATCTTAATTTTTTATAATTTCTTAAAATATCATGCATATCATATAGTATATTACATCGTCCTATAATACGATTTGTGATAAATCAATTTTTATAGGTTATCCATTTTAAAAGCAATTTCTTAAAGCTTTCTTATTTTAGTTTTGCTCCCATGTGTGTGTGGTTGTTTCACATAAATTTCATATTAGACACATATAAGAATATGTGACTCAATAAACATAAGAGTATAATTCATTCATTCTTTGATGGTCTTCTTTTATCTTGATGGCTATAGATTTTTTATAGATATTTTCTTTTTAAGTTTAGATTGGGTGCACCTTCTTCAACTTGTGATTATCATATTTTGAACTAATCATACTATATGATCATAAACATACTATATAATATTTGAGATTTTACTTAAATTATTCCTCGTGATTAATCAATTAAATCAAGGTTTAATAAATATAGCTATTCATATTGTATGATAAATATCATATTGTACAATTGACATATACGAAATTTGGTTGTCCCAAATATCGTACTGGATGAAAACCTTAATTTTTTGATGCTAATCGTATTATACAAACCCTTGATATTTTGATTAAATGTACTATACGATGTTAATCGTATCGGATAATCGACAGAGATAATTTCCCATTGTCACATTAATCATCCTATACAAACAGAGTGAATTTGAATTAATCGTACTTTACAAACTTACAATCATATTATATGATCAAAATTTGAACAATTCATCTTAAAGATTATTCCATTGCGTTAGACAAAACCCTATTTTTGAACTAATCAAACTGTATAAACCTAGATCTTACTATTCGAACATAGATGGCCTAATTGAAATTTAGGGTTTTTTTATGCCTTATACTTAATCAAATCAATGAAGTCTTTAAAAAGAAGATTTTTGTCTTGAAGGAACTCTGAGGGATAATTTTTTACAAAGCTTTGGGCTTAGAGAGAGAGAAGTGAGGTTATGCATGAGGGAGAATGAATGCGAGGGGTCTTCACACAATTGCCCCAAACAAGCTTGTACCTTGCTTCCTCCAATTGCCTTGGCGAGTTCTTGGAGTTGCTCTTGGAAGAGAAGCTTCAAAGTCAAAGTCTAGGGTTCTCTACCTTCACTAGAAGGGTACGTAAAGAAGGGTTGATGGTTCTCTGCCATCACCAAGAGGGTGAGAAAGATTTCATGGCTACTCTACCTTCACTAAGAGGTTGAGAAAGATTTCATGGGTACTCTACCTTTATCAGAAGTGTTAAAAAGGATTGAATGTTCATTATCATCACCATTTGGTTCTCCATCGCACCTGATTTGGTGGAAGTAATTTTTGTAAGGACTTCTCCACCTTGCTATGGGGGAAAAAAAAGAGAGTCACTATACTTTTAGTGCAATTCCCAGAGTGAAGGACTCCAGTGAGTGGACATAAGTCAAGGTTGATCAAACAACTACAACATTTTTAGTGTGCTCTTTTTGATTTTCTCTGTTTTTTATCTTTAGTTTTTGTACTTTATTTTTTTTGCTCAAATTTCATTTCTCATTTCAAGATGCAGTTAGTTTAATTTATGTTAGCAAGTAACTTAATATTCCTCTTAATTTATTTGGGCTTCAAAATTTAAAAAAAAAAAAAACTTATTATCAAATTTTAAATTGCTTCCGCTTGTGTTAGTTACTCATCTAGATGTTCATTAAGTTATTATATTGTATAAAATAAAAAGAAGGATTTTTATTATATTAATTTTTTAAAAGTACCAATTCACACCCCCCTCTCTTAGTGCGCTTAGGGATAGATCAATGAGATCTTTCACCCTATCTAAACTTTTAAGTGGTATCAGAGTAGTTATTGGAATTCACAATTTTAAAATCCCCAAGTAAAGATCATATGCCACATTTTTTAATAAAAGTACTGTGGAAGGTTATTCTATAACCTGTCCACCTCTGTTAAAAAATATTCCATTTAATTTTTAGAAAATGTGCATGTCTACATTTCTGCAATCTATTGATTTTAGAATTTGACATATGATTCAAATTGGTTGTCCACTTCAATCTCGAATAGTTAATAGAGTCAAAATTGATGCCTCGTTTACTGAATAGAGTCATGAGGATTGAGAGCTCATTTAATTGAATGCAAAATATTTGAAT